AAATATCAGAGTTGACTGGGAAGCAAGAAGCTGGAAGAGAGTTCCACAAACGAGAAGTGCGATCGAAGAAACTGTTAGCATAGAACTTACGGTTAGATTTGACCATTCCAACTATAAATTGAGGAGATCTTGGGAAAGTGACTGAAGCCGAGATGCCAAATCAGGAACAATAACTTCTATGAATTTTATCAAGAATCTCTAAATATATAACAGAAGCAACAGACCAGATGTGGCAGCAATAATCCAAATATTTAAGGTTGTTTAGTTTATTAAGTAAGAACAATGAACAAATTTTAACAAAATTTAACATTCATAGCAAATAAATTGAACACTTTGTTTTATTAGATTGTTTATTTAAAAGAATAATTTTCTGTTTACAAGTTTATAAAACACGTGAACCAACTTCAATGCAATATGTATCATTTACAATATTATAAAGAAATAAATATGAAAATATTTTTTTATTCATGAATTTATAAAAACGCCTGTGAATAAGAGAACAAAGGAATTTAAAGAAACTCAAACCTGCCAGTAACTAATTATAAATTTTGAAAAAATATATTTTCCAGGCTTTTATTTCATTTTTCCTCGCTACAAATTTGCTAAAATAGTTTGTGAACATCTGGGTTTATACTTAATTCTTTCTCGAGAACTGACAACAAAAATGTTAAACATTGTTTATTTATTAGACTTTAATTACAAGAATAGGGTTTGATGATTTTGTTGTCAATTCTTTGGACAAATTCTAAAAATAGCTTTTGAAAACGGTAAAAACATTATACAGTATACATTAATAGCATTGCAGAAAAATAGTCATTTGACATAGCGTTTTTGTAGCTAGGTTTGGTAAACTTTACCATTTTTTCCTTTGAAAATGATGTGATTTGATTGCTATAAACTACAACTGGTCTTCCTTACCACTATTTAGTAACAAATCTTCAATAATAAAATTTATAGATCTTTCCTATGTACGCGGGCCCGAGTTGTTAGAACGTCCGTTTTCTAATTATGAGATCCGGGTTCGAATCTAACCGTAATCGATTTGGCAGGAAGTTGACGTCTTGATAATATTGATCTGGAGGAGGCCATCTCGACGGTCCATTCATTCCAGTCAACTTTAATATTTAAATGCAATGTCAATCGCTATCTACTGTCCTCCTGGTTATTCTTTTCTCTTCCTGCTCATTAGTAATATTTCTGTTCCCAATTCTTCCACGCCCGGAAACACCTTTATGACTTAGTGGCTTTATTGCCTTGCTTGGGGTGAAACCGATTAAAAAATGTCGCCAGCCTTTCAGTACTATATCTCCATTGCTATGGCAGATGTTTGGGCGAGTTACATTCCTTATTGCCACCAGCTCGGACCTTCTATACTCGGACCTTCCTCGTTCGGGTCTTCCTCGCTAGGACCTTCCTCGCTTGGCCCTTCCAAGCACGGACCTTCCAAGCTCGGACCTTCCTCGCACGGACCTTCCTCGCACGGACTTTCCTCACTCGGATCTTCCTCGATCGGGTCTTCCCAGCTCGGACCTTCTCCACTCGGACCTTCCTCACTCGGATCTTCCTCGCTCGGGTCTTCCTCGGTCGGGTCTTCCTCGCTAGGATCTTTCTCGCTTGGACCTTCCACCCACGGAACTTCCTCGCACGGACTTTCCTCACTCAGGTCTTCATCGATCGGATCTTCCCAGCTCGGACCTTCTCCTTTCGGACCTTCTCCACTCGGACCTTCCTCACTCGGATCTTCCTTGATCGGGTCTTCCCAGCGCGGACCTTCTCCGCTCGGACCTTCCCAGCTCGGACCTTCCTAACTCGGACCTTCCCCGCTCGGACCCAGCATGCCATGCCCACATTGGCTAACCATCCTCTTTCCTTTTGTGTTTCTTTCATAAAAAGCAAGTTCCCCTCAGACAGCTTCATTCCCGGAACTGTTATTTTGTGACAACTATAATCTTAATCTCTTTAAATCCATGGCCAATCAATATCTATCCTTCTTGATCTCATAATACTCTTTTACTTCCCCCTTCATTACAATCTCAGTAACGCTCTACCTTGAGTGATCCTTGGGCCTCCAATTGGATGAACTATCGGTAAAAAAAATAATAATAATGATAATAGCGTCTCATAGATATGCAATGCTATCAAAATTATTTCTGTTAAAGAATATGACAAAATAAATAAATATAAGGATCTTGCAGAAATGTGACACCTTAAACTACTGTCATGCCTATAATAATTGGAGTACTGGGCACAATAAAAAAAAAAGGAAATAGGCAAGAATATTAAATTAATCGCTGGAAGCCCCTTTTCCAGTCAGTTAAATGCCATACGTGATATACCCTTGAGGTATCATGTCTCTTTCGATCTATGACTAACTATACGGAAGATTTCCCCGCAGTAGGTAGGCGTTTCTCTCTGCGGTAAACTGATTGCCAACCAAGTCCGTCCTGTTATTTAACCCATAGCTAAGAGGAATAGATAGATTGATATTTTTCCGAAGGCTATGTTCGCGTAAGTGAATGAGAGAACCCAACTAGAATTCGAACTCGGTTTCACATTCCGAGACGTTATCCTTTACACCATACCGAACCTTTCAGAGATTTTCAAAGGTGCACTGTGTGGAACCGCTTATCAGCTCAGGATTATTGCCAATGTAAGGCAAATATAAACACTGTACATGCTAAGTAGCACTTAACATCATAATTTGGGGAAAAAAAAGGCATATATCTTGCCATGAGCTCGATTAACCACTGGTTAGGGACTGTAGTGAACAGAAAGCAAATAACAATCTTGTATCAGGTTGTAAGTTATTGGCACCCACTGAATATAAAACCAGGCATGACAGAGTGGGCCAATATCTGCACTGGAAAATATGCAACTTGTACGGGAAGGAAACTGAAAGAAACTGGTCTGAACACCACCCAGACCCGGTTACGGAGATAGGACCTGTTACAATTCTATGGGACTACACAATACACACTGACAGAACAATCAAAGCCAACCGAACAGATATTGTTATTAGAGACCACAAACAAAATAAAACTGCCTCCTTATTGATATAGCAGTCCCTGCAGACTGCAATGTATCTTTAAAGATATTCAAAAAGCTGTCAAAATACAAGGACCTTGAAATAGAAATCTCAAAATTGTGGCACATGGGAACATCAACAATCCCTGTTGTAGTTGGAGCCCTCGGAGACATTGGAAAAGATTCCAGTAGACTCATTGAAGGAATTTCTGGCAGCACATGTCTTTAAAAAAATACAAAAAATTGTTCACACGAGTACTACACACACCTTGTAAAGGGCTTTGTCTATGTAAAATATGTGTGCTGTTGTTTTTTTGTTATTTTTTTTTTAATTGCTCAGTGGAAAATGTCATGTCACCATTTCAGACCTTAGGTCTCTGGGCGGGACCCGGAAAGACATGAATACACACCAGAAATCAAAGGAAATGATGGCAAGGTAACCTCTTTTTGATCAATATCTGCCCGTACCAAACAAGCTGCTGTAAACAGACCCCGTTCTCTTTAGTGGCTTCATTGTACAGGAAACCGAAGCTTTTACTCTTGCTGCAGAAGTCCAATACTTGCTAGCTAGAAATTGCTAAAAACACATACTGAAAAATTGTGTTAACCCGAAATGCAGATTGTGTGACAAATATCCAGAAACAATTGACCATCTTATACGGTATTGACACCCACTGAATATAAAACCCGGTATGAGTGAGTGGGCCAATACCTGTATTGGAAAATATGCTATTTTTACGGATTGGAAACTGCAAGAAACTGGTATGAACACCACCCAGACCCGGCTACGGAGATAGGACCTGTAATAATTTTATGGAACTTTACAATACACACAGAACAATTAAAGCTAATCGCCCAGACATCGGGGTCAGAGGCCACAATGGATAGTGTCTCAAAATAAGAAATCGGAGAGCTGAGTTCGAATTGAAGTCGGGCTTATTACGTTCACTTACACGTAGATATTTGTGAAAAAGTTATGAACTCCGCTTCTCCCTCATGATATGGGTTAAACAGTAGGATTTGTATTTGGAAAAAAATCATTGTTATTCTCAAAAAAATGTTAATGTATTATTCACTTAGGAAAAAAAAATTAAAGAATAGTTCTTTAAATAACCTACAAAAGGGTTGATAACCCGTAAAAAAAAACAAATCATTAATTGCATTCGATATTTTTATTTCTCTTCCTCATGTTTTTTCCTTTTTTCACTTTTCATTTACTTCCCCTACTTCTCTTCCACATTCTTCTTCTTCTTCTTCTTCTTCCTCTTCTTCTTCTTCTTCTTCCTCCTCTTCTTCTTCTTTGTTTTTCCTATTTTCTCTTCCTCTCCTTCGTCCTTTTCTTTTTTCTCCTTTTTTCTTTCCTTCCTTCTCTAAATTTACTTTTTTTATAAATTTCCAATCATCCGTTTCTTCTAATGTTCGTCCTCTTCTTTCTCTTTCTTTTTCACCTTTCTTTTTTACTTCTTTCCAATTCACCCTCTCATTTCCTTATACTCTCTCTCTCTCTCTCTCTCGCTTTCTTCACTTATCTTTCCTTGTTTTTATTTTCTTTCATTCTTTATTTTTTATTTGTATTAATATTTTTGTTGTTGTTTTGAAGCAGGCGCATTTTTTTTGTTGTTTCCTCCCAGTTCAATTTCACCGAAAAGAATCCCGCCTCTGTGTTTCTTGCCCGTTCCTTATCTGTGGCCATCTTCCGTTGGCAACAGCTGGTCTTCAACCAACTTCGCCGTTGCACAATGAACAATCAGAAAAGACGCAACAAGCCAATCAAAACAAAGAAACGCAGTAGGTTTGACAGAAAGAAACGATAACAAAAATGTCTAATCACTCATTTTTTATTTACTTAGCCTACCTTAGTTTGGCACAAGGCCACGAGCATAGAGAACCCACTGTATCAATTAGATCAGTTAGCGAACGTTGCTCGATATTAAAAAAAAAAGCCTTATTTGGTACAGGATTCTGCATTTTTCCCTTATGGCCATATCACATTGAAACATCGGTTCCCGTACGAACACCGTAGTTAAGCAACGTCCAGCCATATCAATATTTAGATGGGTAACCGCATGGGAATACCGAGTACTGTAAGCTTAGATGTGAGGGTGGTGTAATGGATAATGACTCGGGTTAATCGGAGAGCAAGGATCCAATTCTGGCTTAGTTTGTTTTATTCACTCATGCGCAAGTGCCCTGGGTAAGTTATAAATCCACCTTTTTACTCCCCAGAAATGGGTTAATTAGTAAAATTGATATCAGTAAAAAAAATTAGTATATTAACAAAAATTCGTACAAAATACTTAGATTTCGGCATTAGATAACTCATAGAGGTTGATATGCGGTTAAACAAAAACAATTAACAACAAAAAATCCTTTTTCTTGTGTCGTCTCCCTTCAGAATTTAGGCGATAATGGCTCTCCATAACTTCCTATCCCTTGTAGCTGTAAGCAATACCTATCCCCCTACAATCGCCCCTAGTCTCTGTTCTGTCACCCAATTAGACAAGCCCGTTAGGTATGTTACCAGCAATTTCCGTTATCCACTCGGATCCGCAATGTGTCCTCTTCGTTAGAAACAAAGACGAGAGTGATGAACAGTTACGTAATATCAGTCCCCCTATAAGACAGTGAATACAGAACAGTTTCCTCACAGGGAAAGAGGAAACTTGAATCAACAATGTGGTTCTACAGAAGGATGCTAAGAATACCATAGACAGAGCATGTGAATAGTGTGGAAGTCTTAAGGAAAATTAGAACGAAAATGACAATTGTGCTTATAATCAGAATAATTAAACTTTTGGTGTGGAAAGAAGGCTTAGCAGATTTGGCACTCACGGGGAGACAAGAAGCGCAGATGGGGACAAAGTCAGTAAACTATCCAATAAGCTTTTGTAAATGGATAGCAGGCAAAGACTTCTGGATTGTACGAAAACCAAAATTATTTAAAATTACAATTTGGAGATGTCAAAATCAAGCAAGTATGAAAAATTAAATATCTGGGAAGTTTTTAACGAATTATGGAAAATGTGACATAGAAAACCGAATTCTAATTGGAAAAGAAAAATTCCTTCTAAAAGCTAAACAAAGTATAAAGAAACATGAAAATGTCGTTAGAATCAAAGGAAAATGTGCTGAACTCCTATGAACAAAAATGCTTACGGTCAAATCACAATAAACACACCGGTTCTTGTTCGATCACCAAAGTTAAGCATCGTAGAGTCAGTACTTAGATGGGGGACCGCTGGGGAACACTTGGTACTGTAAGCAGACCCCTAATACCGGGGTAAAATATTTTGGAGCACCTCGGCGTGGTGTAATGGTTAGCAAATTTGTCTCGGTAAAACAGTAACCACTGGAAAGTGAGTTCGATCCTCAATGGTTGCCACATACTTTCGGCCTTGTGCCACATCTAAGCTACGCTTAGAAGATCAGTACTATGAATAAAGACAAAAAGAAAACTTATCTTAGTAGACGCGACCCCTGAGTGACTTTATAAAGGCAAATGTTAGTTCATCAGGTTAGCGGAAAAATCAAGCAAGTTCATGGACGTGTGTAAATATAGTTCAATGCTTAATTTACTGTCGGAGGACGAATATTTTCTGTGAAAATTTCTCGAACATTCAGGCCAGTAAATGTTGTTTAATACTGTTTATTATAAACAGAGCATTTACTTAAATATTTGTATCTATAAAAAGAATGTATAAACATAAAAATGTCTTTATATATATATATATATATAAAATTTTGTATTGAGATTGGTTTATGCGTTATATGTTTTGAATAACATGAGGTCATGAATTTAACCTTTTTTTAAAATTTTAGTTGTGGTCATATATCTTGGCTTTGTATAGCCGTAATTCCTTCACAAAACTCGTAACATGTAAATCAATCACAATCCAAACTAATTTAAATACTAATTTACATATTTGTACATTTCGGCAGCAATTCTCTTTTCGGTATGTCTGATTGAATAAATATAAAAAACATAACGAAAAAAAATTACGGTAATAGATAACAACGCATAACTTCGTATAAATACTTGTACTAATGAACAACATATAGTTTTGTACTACTTGCACCCCTGAAGATGATCTTGGAAGAAGATCGAATGTACTTCGGAAATGAAAATAAAAGAAATTTAAACAGCTAAAGCACATTTCTCTCATCCTTTAACATCAATACACGGAAGGTTATTCGGGAGAATAAACGGATTTTATTAAAAATTAGCAAACATAATGTCTGTATTTTATTCAATCAGACATGCCTAATTTACATATGTATTCATATATAAAAAGCAAAAAACTCCTACTCAGTTCCGTTTATTAAGCATTGAACTATATTTCCACACGTCCATGAACTTCCTTGACTTTTCCGCTAACCGGATGAACTACTATGTAATATAAATCCTATTTTTTGCAGCGAATACTGAACAGTTTCATCTCAGATAGAGGAGACTTGAGGTTAAGAGAAATGCGTTACTACAGAAAGATGCTGAGGATATCATGGAAGGTGCATGTGAGCAACGGGAGCATTTTAAAGAAAAGAGGAACGAAAATGACATTTGTACTTTGTATCAGAAAGGGACAGATGAAATATCTAGACGCATAATGAGGAAAGGGGACTTCGCGAATTTGACACTCAAAAGATGTCGAAGTGGGAAAGATGGAAACACCGAGTAACCTACCTAATTAGCTTGTGTAAATGGTAGAACACTAATTGGGAAGGATATTAAGGAGATAAAAATTACTTTCAGCTACTAAGAATAGGAAGTTGTAGAGGGCCAAGACCGTTCATGTCTCCTGGGGAAATTGCGAGTAGCATAACTAACGAGCTTGTGTAAATGGATGGCAGAACTGTGACTGGGAGGGATAGTAAGAGGATAAACATTGTTTAGAGCTACTAAGGATAGGTAGTTGTGGAGAGCCATGATCATCCATGTTTCGTATGGAAATTTCGAGTAACATATCCAATGAGCTTGTGTAAATGGATGCAAGATTAGAGACTGGATGGGAATCAATGTTTTTCAGGGTTACAAAGTTTAGGAAGTAGTGGAGAGCCGTGATTTCCCATGTCTTCAAGGGAAAGTGCAAGTAATATAACTAACGAGCTTGTTTAAATAGTAGAAAAGGGACGAGTAAGGTTAGTAAGGAGATAAACATTGTTTAGCGCTACAAAGGATAGGAAATTGTGGAGAGCCATGATCGTCCATTTCTCGTGGGATAACTGTGAGTATCCTAATGAGGTTGAATAAATGGATGGCAGAACAGTGACTAGAGGGGATAGTAAGGGGATGAATGTTGCTTAGGGTTACAATGGATAGGAAATAGTGGAGAGCCATGATCGGTCATATCTTGAAGGGAAACTGTGTGGTACAACTAATGAACTTATGTAAATGGATGGCAGAACAGGGACTGGTATGGATAGTAAGGCTATCTATACTGCTTAGAGTTATAAAGGTTAGGAAGTTGTGGAGAGCCGTGTGAGCAAGAAGGAAGTTTTAAGGAAACGGGGACCGAAAAGGGCACGTGTGATTAGGATCAGAAATAGTTGAAATTTCTGATTGCACTGGAGAAAAAATATGTTCCACTGACCTTACAAATGCGGGTGGGGGCCTGTCTGCCTGCCCGCCCTGAAAGCAACAATGCTAGCTTTCACTTTGACTGAAACGTCGAAACTGGTGGAAACTTCGCAAACAAGATACGGATGTTTACTAACCTCTTCAACCTAATAATTGTTGATGTTTATATTTCCTTTATAGTGCACAGATATTTCTATTGCTTGTGCTTGTAGAGGCATTCACCCGGGAATCGGTTGAACCGGCTCCGTCAAACGAATTTGTCGCATCTCGAAGGAGTAGTCTCAGCTGTTATTTGCATTCACAAGCGGTCCCCAGCCGCATGTATACACATATTAAGATAATGGTTTGAATTCAGAGCTTTTCTTCTAGACTGGTTGCCAACCAAGGCTCAATGGCTCAGTCTGTTCTGTGATTTACCCACAGTTGTGGTGGTGGGGAAGAGATGGATTCAAACCTTTCCCAAGGACAGGGTTCACCAAACTACGGCACGCGGGCCAGGTTCGGCCCTCGATGTCAGTTCATCTGGCCTGCCGCTTCACCAGGCCACAAATGAGCTAAACTATAATTATTCATATGGAAATTTCAATAGATTGTAGTTAAAATTATTATGTAGAAAAAATAAAAATAAACGTAAGTAAAATGCCAAAATTTGGCCAATCTGATTTTTGCATCTGACAATAATATAAGTTTTAGGAAAATCAGTGAAATAAAAAGTTCGGCAACTTTTTCAACTTTTGTTATCCGAGCGTTTTTTTTTTTTTTTTTTTTGTTTGTGTGTGTGTGTGTGTGTATATGTGTGTATGTGTGTGTGTGTGTGTGTGTGCGTGTGTGTGTGTGTGTGTGTAAGTACCTGCAATGAAGTTTCTAAAAAAAGTGATTACAAACCTGCTGCAGTAATTATGTTTTAACTTGCATTGCTGTGTTTAAACCGGTTTGAAAAGTGCCGTATATAAAAAGGACTGACTTCAGCGAATTATGTCAAAAATTTTGCTTGAACTTATTATAAAATCTAAAGTATGTAAAGTCAACGCATGTAATAATTAATTAATGCATATTGTATATCCTCATTGGGAATCTTTTTCATTTGTTGTTTTAATCCCCCCCACCACATACGACGATTTGTACAAATGGGGACTATTAAGGATTTTCTTAGAGACAATGAGGTATTATGGTGAATGTAGTAAGAAAGATATGTAAGAATGTGTTGTTTTGGTGTTAGGAATATTGTTTGTATGTTTGGGTCAGTGTTTGTGGCTAGCTAAGTTTAAAATTAAGACAGATGAAGGCCATCCTTTTCCCCATTCCCCCTTTTTAGGCCTTGTGCCACATTTTCTGTAATTTTACAGAAATAAATATTGTAATGAGATTGACTAATGAACATTTGAAAGTATTTCTCTTGATTGCATACATCAATACCAAAACAAATATTAATTATATATTAAAAAAGGTAAACGCCAATTTTACAAAACTCACTAACATTTTGTGCTGCTTATTTTGTGAGATTCGAATATGTGCGCATTTGGTGTGATATAATTATTTTATTGCTATTGTCGCCTTCTTGGATAACATTTTAGTAAATAAGTATGTTTGTTGTCTTTATTTTTTTGTGCATTCAGTGTATTGTATTGGACAAAATGGTTATCCGGCCCACACTCGTCATTCTCTGTTATCTGGCCCTCTGTGGAAGAAGCTTGATAACCCCTGCCAAGAGTATTAGCACGTAAGCGAATGTAATGAACTCGACTGTAATTCGAACTCTGTAGCGTTAACCCAAAAGATCGTTCTTATTTATCGTTAGATAGTAATAGTAGCGTTTAGTTTTAACTTCATGGCGTAGACGATCATGACTCTCCTTGAATTATTTCCTTTCGACTTCTTTGAATCGCCATGGCATGACTTCCTGGATAAAATAATAAAGTAGTGTCCCGTTGTCTTATAAACACATTTTTTTTAGAATTTTTCTCCTCCTAGACTTGTTGCTGCACATTGCTAGACAGACCAGTGTATAGTGTTATTTAATCCATAGCTGGAGGAAGAAGAATTAAATTCACGCCTTTTCCCAAAGACATTTACGCAAAAGACGAATAGGAAACTACAAATGTAACATCTTCAAGTCTAGGGTCAGTCGTCATCCTCATAATCTTCACTTCCTTCTAATTCCTCGTACGTTCACGTCACTCACCTTATTAAATAACCCTCTATCTTGAGTAGCTCTTGCGCTTTACAATGGATTAAATTTATTTTTAAAAAAATGCAATTGTAAAGTGGTTTGTGCCGTTTCGCGCTGGAAATTTCCCGCTGAAAGTTGCTCCATGGTCGTGTCTTGAAATTAAGCAATCTAATAACAAACATGGCGAACATAATGAAAATTCCCAAATCAAACGTTTAATAACATTTCTACTTGTTTATGTTAGTCTCTTTGGTATGTGACTGACCGATGAATAGTGGATACTTTACACCAATGTGAAACACACGAACAAGTGGGACAAACGAAATGAAGCACCACTAATCTTATCGAAGATCGGTCTTCATCCAAAGAAGGTAGCAGTAGAAAGTTATCTTCCTTCCAAAATATTACGCTTTTTTTCTATTTCCAAAATTATAGGCGCTTTTCATCAATTGCGGCCAATCGACAAAAAGCGCCCGAAATTTGGGAAAAAGAAAAAGGGTAAGTGTTCCCTTTTTTG